CAGGATGGGGCCAACTCAAAAAAAAAAAAAAAAAAGCGCACGGAGGTTGGTGCTAGAGGGGGAAAGAGGGGCCCCCCAGCAGCACAGAAGGGGGCAGCCCAGCTCTCCAGGTTAAGAGACACAACTGGGCCCTGGCTGGTGTGGCTCAGTGGATAGCGCAGTGGCCTGCAGACTAAAGGGTCCCGGGTTCGATTCCGGCCAAGGGCACATGCCCGGCGTGTAGGCTCGATTTCCTTCCCCTCCCTTCAGCAGTGGCCATGCAGGAGGCAGCCAATCAATGATTCTCTCTCATCCATGTTTCTAACTCTAAAATCACTTTTAAAAATAAATAAATCTATAATAATAAAAGCATAATATGCTCATTAAACCAGATGTCCTTCCATCCTTCTGGACGAAGCCAGGGCTGTGAGGAAACCCCAAGTCCCGGGAGCCAAAGGAAAGTCGGTGCCGGCAGCTGGGGGAAGGAAGGCCTACTCTCACACGAATTTCATGCACCGGCCTCTAGTAAATAAATAAAAGAGACACAACTGGAGCTGCAGTTCCAAGCTCATAAGGAAGAGCATGTGATCTGCCTGCTGTGCACCTCAAACACAGCAGGTGCCAGCCGGTGGGGATCCAGTTCTCTCTTCTCAGCACGACGTCCCAGATATTATATGACAGCCTCCATAAAAATAAAATAAATTAAAAAAAACAACCAAGCACGCCAGCAGGGCTCAGTGGTTGAGCGTCGACCTAGGAACCAGGAGGTCACGGTTCCATTCCAGTCAGGGCACAGGCCCGGGTTCAAGGCTCCATCCCCAGGAGAGGGCGTGCAGGAGGCAGCCGATCTGTGATTCTCATCATTGCTCCTTCTATCTCTCTCTCCCCCTCTCCCTTCCTCTCTGAAATTAATAAAAAGGGTGCTTTTTAATTAAATAAACCCAAGCACATTTCCACAACGCCTGGTCAGCAGGCAGCGTGTACCAGGGCAAGTAATTGCCATGATTATGTTCTCTCGTATAGGCAAAGCATAAAAAAAAAATACAGACGATCACAAATGTCTCACTAAATATGCAAAAACACCCAATTAGAAAAACATCCCAGGTGATCATGGCCCCCTGGAGGGATTTAAAAAAAAAAAATGGGCTATCTTCTTATACTGGAAAAAAACACCTGACAAATGAAATACCTTGCTAGGGCAGCAACTGAAGAAAGAAATGTGATTATAAAAGCATCATTCTATTTAGGCAATGATATCCCAGCCTAGGCAGACTTTAAATATATATATTTTATTGATTTCAGAGAGGGAAGGAAAGGGCTAGAGAGAAACAATGATGTGAGAGAATCATTCATCAGCTGCCTCCTGCACACCCCCTACTGGGGATGGAGCTCACAACCCGGGCACGTGCCCTGACCGGGAATCGAACCATGATCTCTTGGTTTATAAGTCGATGCTCAACCACTGAGCCACAACGACCGAGCAAGCAGACTTCTAAAAACATTTTAAATCTTGCTTCTCAGCGAAGGGGGGCGGACCATCAGAACCGCTAGAAGCATTTACAATATACAGGTGTCTGGACCTCCCAGCCCACATCTACTGAACCAAAATACCTGCATTTTGGGGAGTTTCCTAGACGATTCTAATGCCCACACCTAGTGAGGAATCACTATACAAAATGATGACAATTATTCTTCAACCAAGAAAACGACCACGAAAACTCTAGCCTCAGTTTCCTCATTTGAAATGTGATGGCTGAGCTAGATTAGTGGTGGCGAGGGGGTGTCAGCCAAGACACCCCGTGTAACAAGGAAATTTTACTGCCAAACCCAATATTAAAGCAAAAGCAGAGCCCTGGGCAGTAAGTCAGTTGGTTAGGGCGTTGTCCAATGCACCAAGATTGCAGGTTTCATTCAATCCCCTGGAATCAACCAATGAATGCATAAATAAGTGGAAAGCAAATCAATGTCTGTCGTCTGTCTCAAAAAATCAATACACTTCAAAATAAAACAGCCCCAGCTGGTTTAGGTCAGTGGATGGAGCGTTGGCTGCAGAGTGAAGGGTCCCTCATTTGATTTCAGTCAAGGGCACATGCCTGGATTGTGGGCTCGATCCCCAGTGGGGGGCGTCATTGATGTTTCTATTTCTCTCCCTCTCCTTTCCTCTCTGAAATCAGCAAAAATATACTTTAAAAAAAAATAAAAATAGCCCTAACTGGTTTGGCTCAGTGGAAAGAGCGACAGCCTGTGGATTCAAGGGTCCCAGGTTCCATTCCGGTCAAGGGCATGTACCTTGGTTGCGGGCACATCCCCAGTCAGGGGTGTGCAAGAGGCAGCTGATTGATGATTCTCTCTCATTGATGTTTCTAACTCTCTATCCCTCTTCCTTCCTCTCTGTAAAAAAAATCAATACAAAATATTTTAAAAAATAAAACAAGGAACAGAACTGCTTTGGATGCGGGAAGGAAGGTGAGTTGAGACTCAGTCTCCCTGACTGTCCCCAGCTCATCTCAATAGACTCAGCAAGGCTTCCCCGAGCACAGCCTCGTCTCCCCAACCAGCTGCGGCCTCCGAACTCTCTGACCTTCCACAGCCAGATCTAGTCCACAACTAGACTTAACTAGTTGTGGACTAGTTGTCATTTACTTCCGGAGGCCCAGAGGACTGCACCTTCTTGTTCCAGAAGCCCTTACCGTGTATGGGAAACCAGCCCCTTGTATAATAACATACTCGTCTGGCGTCTAACCTTCCATTTAGAAAAACAGTTCTTGCCACCTAAATCATCACTAATCCCACAGTCTCCTGGGAGAGCTTCAAGATCCGAAAAAAAAAAAAAAAAGCCTGGATTCAAGAGCATACACCAGCCAAAACCGATTTGGCTCAGTAGATAGAGCGTCGGCCTGTGGACTGAAAGGTCCCAGGTTCGATTCCAGTCAAGGGCATGTACCTTGGTTGTGGGCACATCCCCGGTGGGGGGGCGTGCAAGAGGCAGCTGATTGATGACTCTCTCTCATCGATGTTTCTAACTCTCTATCCCTCTCCCTTCCTCTCTGTGAAAAATCAATAAAATATATTTTTTTTAAAAAAGAGGATACACCAAATGCATGCTTGTGGTAGCACTGGGGACAGCACGAAGGGGAATAGGACCAGGAAGGGGCACAAAGGTCTTTTATTTTCTTTTATAACATATTTTTAATTGATTTTTTTACAGAGAAGAAGGGAGAAGGATAGAGAGTTAGAAATATCAATGAGAGAGAAACATCCATCAGCTGCCTCCTGCACACCTCCTACTGGGGATGTGCCCGCAACCAAGGTACATGCCCTTGACTGGAATGGAACCTGAGACCCTTCAGTCCACAGGCTGACGCTCTATCCACTGAGCCACACCGGTTAGGGCGACGGGGTCTTTTGGAGAGGAAAGAGAAAGATCTGAAGGGCTAACATGTGTTCCTTCTGAAATGCATGTATGTGTGCAGTGTTGTCCTTGGACTTTCCTGTAGAGTTTTTTATAGTACTTTCAAAATTAAAACCAAAAACAAAAAACCAAAACAAAAAAACATCTATTTATTAGTCACATTTAAAACATCCATGATTTTCTTCAGCCTATGGATCACGAATGCCGGTCATTCTCCCTTGCTGGCCTTTTCAGCTAAAGCTCGCGTATAGGACACCTGTCATTACATCTACGGTATCCGCCCTGGGACATTCAGAGGCACACGGCCCCGGAACAAAAGGAATGAGCCACGGAGAGCAAATGGACACTAAGACAAAAGGCCTCGGGCGTCCGATGGAGCTAAAGAGCAGCTGTACATTCACTTCACAAAGAATGCAGAGGCCGTCCTAGCCGGTGTGGCCCAGTGGATAGAGCATCGGCCTGCAGACTCAAGGGTCCCAGGTTCGATTCCGGTCAAGGGCATGTACCTTGGTTGTGGGCACATCCCCAGTGGGGGGTGTGCAGGAAGCAGCGGATCGATGTTAATCTCTCATTGATGTTTCTGACTCTCTATCCCTCTCCCTTCCTCTCTGTGGAAAATCAATAAAATATATATATTTTTTATTTAAAGAATGCAGAGGCCGCTGCCTCTGAGGGTTGCATAGGTTCAAGGAGAGAAGGAGCCCAACTCACAGATAAATCAAAACGCATGAAGAACGGATGAAACATGGAAGCTCAATTTACTCCAAATTCTAAAAATGCTCTATCTTCCCCCAGAGCCGGGAGTGCCTCCATCAGGCACCATAGGCATAAATCAGAACAACACAAACCCGGGCATTTTTCAGTAAACAAAAACGTCCATCCTATGTAATACTTTAACAATAAAGGATTTCAATTTTTTTTAAATGTCCATCAGTGTTTCATGAATCAACTACCACCAAGGTCACCTGCTCCCATAATAAATCCCCTAAGTAGCCCTGACCTGTTTGACTCAGTGGATAGAGCACTGGCCTGCGGACTGAAAGGTCCCGGGTTCGATTCTGGTCAAGGGCATGTGCCTTGGATGCGGGCACATCCCCAGTAGGGGGTGTGCAGGAGGCAGCTGATCGATGTTTCTCTCTCATTGATGTTTCTAACTCTCTATCCCTCTCCCTTCCTCTCTGTAAAAAATCAATAAAATATATATTTAAAAATAAATAAATAAATAAATAAATCCCCTAAGTATACTTATTCCTTCTTTCTTTTTTTTAATATATTTTATTGATTTTCCACAGAGAGGAAGGGAGAGGGATAGAAAGTTAGAAACGTCGATGAGAGAGAAACATCGACCATCTGCCTTCTGCACACCCCCTACTGGGGATGTGCCCGCAACCAACGTACATGCCCTTGACTGGAATTGAACCCCCGGACCCTTCAGTCCGCAGGCCGATGCTCTATCCATTGAGCCACATCGGTTTCGGGTATACTTATTCCTTCACACGACCAGCCTCGCTCAGACAGAGCTACAGCACACGGAAAGAGCCTTTTATCTGCATTCACATGCTATCGGCTCCCTTCTCCCGATCTTTTTCTCCAGCCAGCCGGTCTTTACCTCTTGGCTTCTTCCAAATGACAGAGGTATTCATAAGCCACATTCTGCCGCCGCCTCTCGTCCATCTCCTCCGCGGTGAGTCTCTCCTTATCCAGGACGGCTAAGACATGAAAGAATGCGAACAAAAGAATCCGTAACCTTTCTGAGCGATAAAGGAACGCCACACATCACATTCCTGCTGGCCACTCGGTCAGGGTAACCCGGGGGTGTCGGGGACAGGCAGGTGGACTAGAATTACTTTCTTTTTTTCTTTTTCTTTTTTTTAATACATTTTATTGATTTTTTACAGAGAGGATGAGAGAGGGATAGAGAGTTAGAAACATCGATGAGAATCATCCATCAGCTGCCTCCTGCACACTCCCCACTGGGGATGTGCCCGCAGCCAAGGTACATGCCCTTGACTATAATCGAACCTGGGACCCTTCAGTCCGCAGGCGGACGCTCTAGCCACTGAGCAACACCGATTTCGGCTAGAATGACTTTCTCAAAATAGGAACTAGGGGGTTTCAACTATACCTATCTTACCCTTTAAAAAAAAAAAGGGGGGGGAGACAGCTGGTCAATGTTTATCTCTCTCTCTCTCTCCCCCCCTTCCTCTCTGTAAAAAAAAAAAAAAATCAATAAAATATTTTTTTAAAGTATGATAATAAGAATATGTACAATAGTTTAGCATAACTTGAAAAATAGTAAGTTGACATTTTGGGCCAAGTCTGTCCTTGTCCATCTGCCAGACTTTTTCTTAAATAGAGCTGAAAATGTCATTTCCCTCTTTCATGAATAATCCAAGCCAGCAGTCCAGTCACTGAGAATGAAGTGGCTGTCATTGTGCTGAGTTATTTTACAAGCAGTCTCTCACTGAAGCCCCTCGGCAAGCCTGCGATCATCGCGCCCATTTCACAGATGAGGAAAACTGAGGCAGGGTGATCTCTGCCCTGTGGCTAACAAGCGGTGGGAGGGGGGCCTGAATTCAAACCTGGGCAAGTCTATCTCAAAAACCCATGTGGCCAAAACCGGTGTGGCTCAGTGGACAGAGCATCGGCCTGCAAACTGAAAGGTCCCAGGTTCGATTCCGGTCAAGGGCATGTACCTTGGTTGCAGGCACATCCCCAGTGGGGGGTGTGCAAGAGGCAGCTGATCGATGATTCACTCTCATCGATGTTTCTAGCTCTCTATCCCTCTCTTCCTCTCTTGAAAAAATCAATAAAATATATATTTTTTAAAAAGCCCGTGCGTGCGTGTGTGTGTGTGTGTGTGCGCGCGCGTGCACGCGCATGCTTCACCTCCAAGCAATCTACCTCTTGCTTGGGCACCCAGGGTACATAATAAATTCCTAACTCCTCGGGGGGGTGGCATTCAAGGCCTTTCCCGATTTAGCTCCCACTAACTTTTGGAAACTCTCCCGCCCCTCTCCCTGCCCTTCCCTCTCCTCCCCCCACCCCCATAGCGCACTCCACACCCTAATTCCCAGTGCCTTCCTGCTGTTCAGTATCTTAATTTATGCTCTTCCCACTTCAAGCAGCGACCAGGTCTATTGCCCCATCCAACCTGCCAGCAGACTGCTCTGTTCAAATGTCACGGCCTGTGCCCGCCCCACCCCACCCCCACTTCCCCAGGCGGATCCTCAGCCAGGCTCCTCTGTATGCTGAGTTTTCTTTTCCACGCACCTTTTTATCTTTATGACCCCTTATTATTATTATTATTATTGGGAGGGACACCAGTCTGTCTCTCTGATTCCAATGTTCTCTGCAGGCAGGGACTGGGTCTCAGCTTTTCATGTCCCAAACCTGACACCATGCCTTACGCTTCACTGTAGATGTGTGAAATTATCTTTTTAAAAAACACAAATTCAACCTTACTCCCAGAGCATAAAAAAAATAAAATCGAGCCGAAACCGGTGTGGCTCAGTGGATAGAGCGTCAGCCTCCGGACTGAGGGGTCCCGAGTTCGATTCCGGTCAAGGGCATGTGCCTTGGTTGTGGGCACATCTCTGGTAGGAGGTGTGCAGGAGGCAGCTGATCGATGTTTCTCTCTCATGGATGTTTCTGACTCTCTATCCCTCTCCTTTCCTCTCTGTAAAAAAAAAATCAATAAAATATATATTTTTAAATAAAAATAAATAAAATCGAAAAACCTCCAGACTCCGAAGGACTTTCCCCCCCGGCCAGGGGGAACTATCCCGCCTGCGGTGCAATGACGTCCCAGGGACAGAAAAAAATGAGGAAGTCAAGAGGGTTTTCTCGTTTTATTGCTTTTGAAATCCTGACGGAGGGAACCCAGCCGGGGGGATGGAAAAGCTGAAGTGACTCGCCCAGCCAGGGCCGCACCTCTCGGCTCGCCCTCTCGGGAGGACCGGGCAGGTCTGGACGCGGGGTGCCCCCTCGCCCGCAGGCAGCACGAGGGCAGCGGCTCCCCGGGAAGAACCAGCGGAGCCCGGGCTCCGGTGCCCGGGACACGCCCTGCGCGGTCCTCCTGCCACCTCACCCCGGCCGGGCCGGCCCCTCAATCTCGGCGGCGCGGGGGGCCGGGCGGGGCTGGGGGAGGCCCTCCGGCCGCAGGGTGCGGGGTACGGCGTGGAACCTGCCTGGGGGGGTCCCCCCTAATCCCCGCCGCCGCCTCAGAGACCGAGGGGCCTCGCCGCCCGCACCCCTCCCGCCCACCGCTCCGGCTCTTCCGGGTCCGCGCGGGCCCGCAAGCCGCCCTGCCCCACCCGCCTGGCCGAGCCCCCCGGGAAAACGGCGCCTGAGGGGCAGAGAGCCAGCCCTAAACCCCCCGCCCCCATGGAGCCCCGCACTCACAGCCATAGTGCGGCCGGAACACGCTCAGCCCGTCAACCTCCTCGGTGGCGGACATGGCGGCCGAGCCCAGGTCTCTGCTGAGGAAGCGGTGAGACCTTAGAGGCGCGGGCGGCGGTGGCGGCAGCTCCTGCACAGTGCGCGGGCTGCCCTGCCCTCAGGCCCCGCCCCGGCCCCGAGGCCCCGCCCACACCTCCGGCCCCGCCCTCAGACCCAGTCCTGGTCCCCGAGGCCCCGCCCACATCTCCCGCCCTGGTCCTGAGGCCCCGCCCCACACCTCCGGCCCCGCCCTCAGACCCAGCCCTGGTCCCCGAGGCCCCGCCCACATATCCCGCCCTGGTCCTCAGGCCCCACCCTGGTTCCCGAGGCCCCGCCCACATCTCCCGCCCCGGAGGCCCCGCCCCAGCGGCCGCACCCATGCCGCGCAGGCTGCAGCAGGCGGAAGTGGGCGGGGCACTCACAGGCTGCTCCGCCCCCAGATCCGCCCATACCCCGCCCCGCGCCCTCAAAGGGGCGGGCGAGAGGCGGAAGAAAGTGGGCACAGCCCGCCCGCCCGTCAGACAGACTGGCGACCAGTTTGGCTCGCTCAGGAAAGCCCGACTCCGCCCCGAAGCCCTACCCTCTAAGGCCGGCATCTCATCCGCATCTCGGACAAAACGGATGCCTTTGGCGGTGGCTTGAAATGGAAAAGGTGGGCCAAAACCGGTTTGGCTCAGTGGATGGAGCGTCGGCCTGCGGACTGAAGAGTCTCCGGTTCGATTCCGGTCATGGGCATGTATCTTGGTTGCGGACACATCCCCAATAGGAGGTGCAAGAGGAAGCTGATCGATGATTTTCTCTCATCGGTGTTTCTAACTTTCTATCCCTCTCTGTAAAAAATCAATAAAAATATATTTTTTAAAAAAATAGAAAAGGTGGGCTCCGTGCCTTGCCCTGCCTGCCGAGCCAAACTCTGCACCAAAGGCCCCTGAGGAGGGCGCCCTTTGCAGTGGCCCAGGGCGTTGGTATTGGACGCCAGGAGGGACCGCAGGGTCTGGCCGTCTGGCCTCAGTTCTTCCCTAGATTCCCCGTTAGTCACCAGGTTTGAACTGCTTGACCTAATGTTTGAGAAGTGGATGCTAAAGCGGGAGAGCTGTACTTGTCCAGACTTACTTCCCTTACTTACATCCCCTGCCACTGATTTTTGCAAGTTCGTCTTTTTAAGTGACTTTTGCCCCTTTTAGGGAGGGCTAGTTTCCCTTGCAGCTTATGCGCTGCCCTTAAAATAATTGTTATTCGACGGATTTCTGTCCTCAACCCTCTTCCATAGGACCCATTTTATTATTTTTTTATTTTTACTTTTTATTGGTTTTTTACAGAGAGGAAGGGAGAAGGAAAGGGAGAGGAATAGAGAGTTAGAAACATCGATCAGTTGCCTCCTGCACACTCCTTACTGGGGATGTGCCTGCAACCAAGGTATATGCCCTTGACAGGAATGGAACCTGGGACCCTCCTGTCCACAGACTGACACTCTATCCACTGAACCAAACTGGTTAGGGCCATAGGACCCATTTTACAACTGAGGAAACAAGCACACAGTGGTTTGGTATTTTGCTCAAGTCCTAAGATTTAGAGTTAGGAATCAGGGCGGGTCTTTCTGATCCTAAAATTCTCTGGCCTGTCACTAACATCACATCCCACTTTAGAGATAGACTATCCCTGAGAAGGTGTTCATTCACTTCCGGTACATGCCAGATGGTCTCTGTGAAAACCCTTCAGCAAACATGTATGAACAGCCGTATCCTGGTCTAAAGACAACTGACAGCAGAGACCTAGAGGTTGTGGGAGGAAGCCAGGAAGTCAGCCCAGAATGAAGCTGGGCTTTGGTTTCCTGGCCGGGGTTAGAATGGGCCACAGTATGCTGCTGCAGACTCAAGGCTGACGACAAAGGATAACTATAAGGACCCATCAAGAGACATGGCTAGCCTTGGCTGGTTTGGCTCTGTGGATAGAGCGCCGGCCTGCAAATTGAAGGGTCCCGGGTTCGATTCCGGTCAAGGGCATGTACCTTGGTTGCAGGCACATTCCCAGTTGAGGGTGTGCAGGAGGCAGCTGATGGATGTTTCTCTCTCATTGATGTTTCTAACTCTCTCTCCTCTCCCTTCCTCTCTGTAAAAAAATCAATAAAATATATTTAAAAAGAGAGAGGGTCACTAGCCACAGTAGCTAACCTGCACTTAGCACACAGATGACAGATTCAGAGCCAAAGCCATGCTTGGTAGTAACAGCCGGCTTCTGGCTTCTGGATCCCTAGAATTGTCTCCGAAAGAATCTGATGGGCAGCAGCAGCAGGTGGGATGGACCTGCCGTCCTGGCTGCAGGCAGAGAAGCCAAACATTTGCAGACTGGGACCTCATTGTGGACAAAGCACCTGGTATCTGGGGCAGAAGGCAGGGTCATACCGGGAGAAGAAGCAGGAAAGTCGACGCCAGAGCCCCTGTCAGGGTCTTAAGTTCTACACGGAGGACATTCAACTCTCTTCTCATTGGAAGTTACATTTTTAAAAGCAGGGAGGGATATAATTTGACTCAACAAAAATGTATGAAATGTTTGCTTTGCACTAGGTACGAACAAGGGCATAAAGTTGAGTTAAACATAGTCCCTGCCCTTTAGACAAGGACACGAATGACTTTACAAGATGAAAATTAAAAGTAAGTGTAGCCGAAACCGGTTCGGCTCAGTGGATAGAGCATCGTTCTGTGGACTGAAGGATCCCAGGTTCGATTCCAGTCAAGGGCATGTACTTTGGTTGCGGGCACATCCCCAGTAGGGGGTGTGCAAGAGGCAGCTGATCGATGTTTCTCTCTCATTGATGTTTCTGACTCTCTCTCCCTCTTCCTTACTCTCTATGAAAAATCAATAAAATATATATTTTTAAAAATAAAAAAATTAGCTGAGACCGGTTTGGCTCAATGGATAGAGCGTCGGCTTGGGGACTGAAGAGTCCCGGGTTCGATTCCGGTCAAGGGCATGTACCTTGGTTGCAGGCATATCCCCAGTAGGGGGTGTGCAAGAGGCAGCTGATCGATGACTCTCTCTCATCAATGTTTCTAACTCTCTATCGCTCTCCCTTCCTCTCTGTACAAAATCAATAAAATATATTTTTAAAAAAATTAAAGTTAAGTGTAATACAAGATGTAGAAAGGGTTACAGAGATCCAAAAGAGATCCCGCCTTACCTGGTTTGGCTCAGTGGATAGAGTGACAGCCTATGGACTGAAGGGTCCTGGGTTCCATTCCCACCAAGGGCACATGCCCAGGTTGTGGCCTTGATCCCTAGTGGGGGGCATGCAGGAGGCAGCCGATTCATGATTCTCTCTCATCATTTATGTTTCTATTTTCTCTTCCTCTCCTTTCCTCTCTGAAATCAATAAAACATTGAGAGAGAGAGAAAGAGAGAGAGAGAGGCAGAAGTCAAAACCGGTTTGGCTCAGTGGATAGAGCATCGGTCTGCAGAAAATCAATAAAATATATTTTTTTTAAGAGAGAGAGAGAGAGGGGGTTGGGGGGAGAAAAAGAGAGAGAGAAAGATCCCATCTGCCTGATGGAAGAGATCTGGAATATTTCATGGAGAGAGAAGGTTCTAAGGGGGCTTTGAAAATGTGTACTTGATTAATTTGAATTCCCTGAATTGGCCACATGGACAACCAATACACTTGTAAAAGTTGTTCAATTTCCCTGCTAATCAGAGAGATGCATATTAAATGTCATTCATACCCATCAGATTAGAAACATTTTATTTATTTTTATTTAAACATATTTTATTGATTTTTCACAGAGAGGAAGAGAGAGGGATAGAGAGTCAGAAACATCGATGAGAGAGAAACATCTATCAGCTGCCTCCTGCACACCCCCTGCTGGGGATGTGCCCACAACCAAGGTACATGCCCTTGACCGCAATCGAACCTGGGACCTTTCAGTCCACAGGCCAATGCTCTATCCATTGAGCCAAACCGGTTTCAGCAGATTAGAAACATTTTAAAGTCTGATGAAATAAAGAGTTGGCAAGGAAGAATAGTGAAGGGAATTCCTACTGTGAGAATGGAAACCAGTACAACCACTTGGGAGGATAACTTGAAAATATCTAGTTAAGCTTGCGCTTAACCTATGACTTCAGAATTCCATTCTTAGGTGTACATACCCAGAGACTCCTACACATGCACACAGGCAGGCATAGTATTTCATCGCAAAAATTCCTGTGACAGCAAAAACCAGGAGTGATCTAAATAGCCATCATCAGAAAAACAGGTAATACCTAGCTGGTTTGGCTCAGTGGGTAGAGCGTCAGCCTGCAGACCAAAGGGTCCCAGGTTTGATTACGGTCAAGGGCACATGCCCAGGGTTGTGGGCTTGATTCCCAGTAGTGGGGGTGCAGGAGTTAGCCAATCAATGATTTTCTCTCATCATTGATGTTTCTCTCTCTCTCCCTCTTTCTTCCTCTCTGAAATCAACAAAAATATATTTAAAAACAAAACAGGTAAATTCTGGTGTGATTATATAGTGAATATTAAAACACAGAAATGAATGAAGAACAACTACATTGAATATGGATGTCTTTCCCAAATATAGAATTGAGGAGGGAAAGTATAAAATAGTTGCCTTGATACCCATTTGTAGACAGTTTAAACAAGATTAAGCAAATCAATATTGTACATTACTTAGGGATCCATCTCAATATTTGCATATAATATAGAGAGAAAGTGTAAAAAAGTGTAAAGTCATAGGAGTGAAAAATACCAAGTTCAGGAGAGTGCAAGAAGGATTGGGGAGCCAAAACCGGTTTTGCTCAGTGGATAGAGCTTCGGTCCACAGACTCAAGGATCCCAGGTTTGATTCCGGTCAAGGGCATGTACCTTGGTTGCGGGCACATCCCCAGTGTGGGGTGTGCAGGAGGCAGCTGATCGATGTTTCTCTCTCATCGATGTTTCTAACTCTCTGTCCCTCTCTCTTCCTCTCTGTAAAAAAAAATCAATAAAATATATTAAATAAATAAATAAACAAACAAGGATTGAGGAAGGGGCTGTGATTGGGGAAAAAGTCAAACAAGTATAAATTGCAGGAAATAAAGTGTGTTTTTTATTTTTATTTTTGTTGATTTCAGAGAAGAAGGGAAAGGGAGAGAGAGATAGAAACATCAATGATGAGAGAGAATCATTGATCGGCTGCCTCCTGCACGCCCCCCACTGGGAATCGAGCCCAAAACCTGGGCATGTGCCCTTGACCGGAATTGAACCTGGAACCCTTCAATCCGCAGGCCGCCGCTCTATTCACTGAGCCAAACCAGCCAGGGCTAAGTGTGTTTTTTCTTTCATGTTTTATTAAAGTGTAGTTCACAAAATTGTATTTTATTTTTAAAAATATATTTGATTTTTTTACAGAGAGGAAGGAGAGGGAAAAGAATAGAGAGTTAAGCTGAAACCAGTTTGGCTCGGTGGATAGAGCACCAACCTGCAGACTGAAGGGTCTTGGGTTCGATTCCGGTCAAGGGCATGTACATTGGTTGCAGACACATCCCCAATACGGTGTGTGCAGGAGGCAATTGATCAATGTTTCTCTCTCATCGCTGTTTTTAACTCTCTATCCCTCTCCCTTCCTCTCTGTAAAAAAAAAAAAAAAATCAATAAAATATATATTTTTAAAATGTTCAACTTCACTGCTAATCAAAGCAATGTAAATGGAAACAATCTGTACAAATCCTGCCTCTTAAGGGAGCACAACTGTTTTTCAGGGATGAGGGTGTGGGGATGTGGGTATTATTTGTTGCTGGCAGCACGGTAAATTGGTACAGTTGGCTCAGAAAACCATTTAGCAAGAAGTAACAAGGGCTATAAAAACGTTCACACCCTGTAGAAATCATGCAAATTGTGGAAATTATTTTTTTTCTGGGAGGTTGGCACAAGAGGACTATTGAATTAGCAGGGCCTCTTTTTTTAAAAAATATATTTCATTGATTTTTTTACAGAGAGGAAGAGAGAGGGATAGAGAGTTAGAAACACCAATGAGAGAGTATCATCGATCAGCTGCCTCCTGCACACCCCCCTCTGGGGGATGTGCCCTCAACCAAGGTACATGCCCTTGACCGGAACCGAACCTGGGACCCTTGAGTCCGCAGGCCGATGCTCTATCCACTGAGCCACACCGGTTTCAGTGGCAGGGCCTCTTGCATTCAGACAGAGGGTCCGAGCTCAGCTGATGACAGAAGGGTGGGCCTATAGTTTTCTGGACGTTTCTTTGTATTATCGGGTCTAGTAATAATTAGTGTCGTTTTTTAAACATTCGTTTAAAATCTTGCTTGGCGTTAACTTGTATTGACATAACCTTCAAACACGTGGTATCTACAGAACGTGTGAAGTGCAATTAACAAGTTTTGCTTGAAAAAGTTTGTGTTTGGTTTGGTTTTTGTTGCAAAACTAGGGCTAAGAAGATGGCGGATGAAGAGCATATTCGGCACTGCATGCTTTATGAGTTCCAATTAGGAAGAAAAGCAAGTGAGGCTGCAAAAAACATCTGTAGTGCTCTTGGTCAAGATGCAGTTAGCTTTAGAAAACGCCAGCGTTGGTTTGAGAAATTTCGCGAGGGAAATTTTTCGTTAGATGACAAGAGTGGTCGAGGCCGTGTGTCCAATTTTGATCAAGAAGCTCTTCAAGCTCTTTTGGTGCAAAATCCTCAAATTACCCAACAAGAGCTTGCGACAACTTTAAATTGTTCACAAAAAACAATTTTCAATCAATTGCGTGCACTTGGCAAAGTCCAAAAGTTTGGAAAATGGGTTCCTCATGAGTTGACTGACAACAACCGTAATCAAAGAGTCACAATTTGCAGTTCGCTCCTCTCTCGTCAAAACCGTTTGCCGTTTTTAGAGCAAATTGTTACTGGAGATGAACAATGGGTGATGTATGTTAATTTGAAAAGGCGGCCTCAATGGTTGGACAAAAATGAGGCTCCGCAGCCCACGCCAAAACCTGACTTGCATGCAAAAAAAGTGATGTTGTGTGTTTGGTGGAATTTTAAAGGAATTCTTCTTTATGAACTTTTACCATCTAACCAAACCATTACAAGTGCAGTGTATAGTGCCCAATTGGAAAGGTTAGCCCAAGCTTTAAGAGAAAAAGAACCCGCGCTGATTAATCGGAAGGGCGTAATTCTTCACCACGATAACGCACGACCGCATACTGCAAGAATCACTGCTGAAAAACTGCGCCAGTTGGAATGGGAAGTTCTCCCTCAACCTGCATATTCTCCTGATATTGCCCCTTCCGATTACCATTTGTTTCGTTCTTTGCAAAACTTTCTTCTTGGAAAAAAATTTAATAATGAAGAATGCCTCAAAAATGCATTGACCGAATTTTTTGCATCAAAATCACAAGAATTTTACAACAGAGGGATTAAAATGCTTCCTGAGCATTGGGCACAAGTAGTAGAAAACAACGGCAACTATATTGTTGATTAAATTTTGTTGTATTGTTTAAATAAATTCAATTTAAAAATATATTAGAAAACGACATTAATTATTACTAGACCTAATACATAAAGGGAGGGCTTGTTCCTCAGCCGAAGGGAAAATGAGAAAGTGTGACTGAGAGAGAATGGGAAGGACTGGCCTCCAGTCTGTCCAGGCCCAGGCTCTTGGATGGTCCCTCTTTCTTTTATTCTCGGTATAACTCAACTTTATGAGATTTGAGTGGAGACGGGGAGTCTCTGCCAGTGTATTCTGTTTCCCTATTCGCTTTTTTCTTGTGAAATATCTTGTAAACAGCCGAAACCGGTGTGGCTCAGTGGATAGAGCACTGACCTGCGAACTGAAGTGTCCCAGGTTCGATTCGGGTCAAGGGCATGTGCCTTGGTTACGGGCACATCCCCAGCGGGGGGCGTGCAGGAGGCAGCTGATGGATGATTCTCTCTCATTGATGTTTATGACTCTCTATCTCTCTCCCTTCCTCTCTGTAAAAAATCAATAAAATATATATTTTTTTTAAAAATATCTTATAAACAAAAAGTTATAAATAATGCAAATTAATTTAAATTTTTAAAAAAATTAAACTCTGTGTACTCAGCACCCAGCTTAAGAAATAGAACTTAGTATTCTTCTTTCTCATTTCAGTCCACCTCTACCCTGGCTTTGATAAATCCTTTGTTTTCTTTTTCTTTCTTTCTTTCTTTCTTTCTTTCTTTCTTTTTTTAATATATTTTATTGATTTTTTTTTTACAGAGAGGAAGAGAAAGAGCTAGAAACATCGATAAGAGAGAAACATCGACCAGCTGCCTCCTGCACAACCCCCACCAGGGATGTCCCTGCAACCAATGTACATGCCCTTGACCGGAATCGAACCTGGGACCTTTCAGTCCGCAGACCGATGCTCTATCCACTGAGCCAAACCGGTTTCAGCTCTTTTTTTAAAATAAATAAATATATATATATATATATATATATATATATATATATATATATATATATTTTAATTGATTTCAGAGAGGAAAGGGGAAGGAGAGAGAGATAGAAACATCACTGATGAGAGGATGAGAGAGAACCATTGATCAGCTGCCTCCCGCACACCCCGCACTGGGGATTGAGCCTGCAACCCAGGCAGGTGCCCTGGGCCAGAAGCTTACGCTACTGAGCTGGGTGTACAGTTTGAGAACCACTGTACTGAAAGAATCAGATTTTTTTCCTGGTCAATTATCTGACTTCCCTGACAAAGAAAGGGCTTAGGGCAGGCAATCAGCAGTTCTGTCCCCTCCTGAGTTAAAGCCCTCAGGGGCATTCCATGGACTGGAAGGGAACAAATTAGTGTTCGAGGCTGACGTTAGTAATTTAGTCTGAATAACACAAGGTGGCTTTTAAGAAAACCTTCAGGCACCAATTTTTCCCTCTAGTATTAAACACCCCACACACACCCTCCTTAACCCCTTGCATCTGCCCTTACCTGCCCACTCTTCCTCCTTCAGGACCAAGGGGACCCCAACCCAGAATCCTGTAAAGCTCCCGGGAACTTAGGGTACCCGCCTCCATCATTTCCAACTTCCGAGCAGCCTGATGGATATACCATGTTTCCCCGAAAATATGACATCCTCGGAAAATAAGACCTACTTACAGATTTCCTTCTAAGTGAAATATAAGGCATCCCCCCGAAAATAAGGCCCCCCCTTTGGCTAAACATGAGAGATTTGGCCCACTGATTCTGAAAGAAATGGAGTCACAAGAAATTCACCAGGAAATTCAGGAATTGGATTGTTAGGATGATGTTCCAGAAGATGATGACATGATTGTCATTGAATCAATGAGTAAATTCTTGATACTGTAGGATTCACAGTTTGTCTGGTTTGTGTTGACAACGACCGTACTACCGTACCGTATACAGGTGATAAATTTCCTTTATTTTCATTTAACAATAAATGTGTACCGTATTCTTCTTCATGGAGAAATAAGACATCCCCTGAAAATAAGACCTGGTGCCTCTTTGGGAGCAAAAATTAACATAAGACACTGTCTTATTTTCGGGGAAACAGGGTAACACGAGACACTGACGAAGCGCAGAGCGGGTCAGGTCTGTGTTGCTGACAGGAGACCTGCAGCCAGAAGCTGGCTTGTCTGTCAACTACGTGATCCACAGCGAGCGGTTTGGCCTTTTTCAAGCCTTAGGTTTTCAACAAGTGAATAAAGCGGCCTGTCCTTAGGAGCGAAAATGAGACATCTGGAGAATTATTACCCAGAGTTCCTCGGGAGGGAGGGGAAAAAGACACATTTGCAACAAGACTGTAACTTTAGCCAAAGCTGGTTTGGCTCAGTGGATAGAGCGTCGGCCTGAGGACTGAAAGGTCCCAGGTTCGATTCCGGTCAAGGGCATGTATCTTGGTTGCGGGTGCATCTCCAGTGGGGGGTGTGCAGGAGGCAGCTGGTCGATGATTCTCATCGGTGTTTCTAACTCTCTATCCTTCTCTCTTCCTCTCTGTAAAAAATCAATAAAATATATTTAAAAAAAAAAAGACTGTAACTTTAGAGATATTACACTTTATGGTTTAACAGCAAAGTGCTCGCGTGCGTGCTAAGCTCTCACAACCACCTAGCAAGGTAGGGAAGGTAGGGACTGACAAAAGGCAGAAGTCTGGCCAAGGTCAAGTGTCAGGGCCAGGACTCAAACAGCTCACTTTCTCGGAGAAGTCAGTGTTCTTTTTCTTTTTTTTCTTTTTTTTAATATATTTTATTGATTTTTTACAGAGAAGAAGAGAGAGGGATAGAGGGTTAGAAACATCGATGAGAGGGAAACATCGATCAGCTGCCTCCTGCACACCTCACTCTGGGGATGTGCCCGCAACCAAGGTACATGCCCTTGACTGGAATTGAACCCGGGACCTTTCAGTCCGTAGGTCGATGCTCCATCCACTGAGCCAAACCCGTTTCGGAGAAGTCAGTGTCCTTGCCAACACCGCCTTTCCTCAGTACATTTCAATTAAACACAGGAATGTACTGGTGTGTGAAATGAATGACCCTAAGAGGGTCACCGAGTTGCAGTAACTTAAAACTAAAAGGCAGCCGAAACTGGTTTGGCTCAGTGGATAAGAGCGTCGGTCTGCGGACTGAAGGGTCCCGGGTTCGATTCCGGTCAAGGGCATGTACCTTGGATGCAGGAATATCCCCGGTAGGAGGTGTGCAAGAGGCAGCTAGTCGATGTTTCTCTCTCATCGACGTTTCTAGCTCTCTATCTCTCTCCCTTCCTCTCTGTAAAAAATCAATAAAATATATTTTTTAAAAAAAACTAAAAGGCAAAGGACCCAGCAGGTTGGAAAACAGCCGGATGCCGGGAAGGCCCCTGTGGCTCAGTGGTCTCAGGAATCTTGCTTCCCCAGGTGACAGTCCTCCTCCAGGCCCCTCTGGCTTGCTTGTCCCTGCATTTTCCGGTGCCTCGGATGGCAGCAAACCTCCCACCGGAGCGCCTCAGGCACTGCTGCTGCACAGAACCAAGGCGGCTGAAATGCTCTCAGCCGCTTAGTCACAAGACCGCAAACATCCTCTCGGTAATTCTGCCTCGTCATGGCGGTGAGACATCTGGTGACTAATGCCTGCCTGGCACTGGCTCGGGAGAGTGTTCTATTGTTTTATTCAATCTGGGCGCTCACACCCCAAATCTCCCGATGCCAACCTAATGGCTTGCAAGTCCTCGGGTCTCGGGGCGGCCCTGATGAAGGCCTTACTGTGTAATGAGGCGGATAGAAGCAACCAGCTTTTAAGGGGCAGGCACAATACTTAGAGGGCTTTATCTAAAGATCTCGAGTATTAATCATTTTAGGGATAATGGGACCGCTTTGTTACTGAGCAAAACTTTGTGCCGGGCGCTGTACTAGGTGGCTTACGTGAGACCTTTAGATCACGTTTATTTCACTTCTCTTAGAGCAGTGGTCAGCAAACTCCTTAGTCCATAGAGCCAAATACCAACAGTACAACGATGGACATTTCTTTGGGGAGCCACATTTTTTTTTAAATACATTTTATTGATTTTATACAGAGAGGAAGGGAGAAAGATAGAGAGCTAGAAACATCGATGAGAGTCATCAATCAGCTGCCTCTTGCACACCCCTTACTGGGGATATGCCCGCAACCAAGGTACATGCCCTTGACCGGAATCGAACCCGGGACCTCTCGGTCCCCAAGCCAACGCTCTATCTATCCATTGAGCCAAACCAGTCTCGGTGAGCCACATTTTTTTAAACTTAAACTTTTTCTAACTCCACTTCTTCAAAACAGACTCGCCCAGGCCGGGGTATTTTGTGGAAGAGCCACACTCAAGGAGCCCAAAGAGCCGCACGTGGCTCGCGAGCCGCAGTTTGCTGACCACGGTCTTAGAGTAACACCAGGCATCCACCATTCAAACTTATATATTTCCCTAAGAATTCATCAAAAACATTGAAGGAATGAATGCCTTGTGTGTTGTTTGGATCCTATAGGTTTATCCTTACCATTAAAACAGGAGGGGGAAAAAAGAGACGGAACAGATTAGGGCCGAACTCGAGCCGCCACTGGTGCCCAGGTTCCTAACAGGGGTCCTTGAAGATAGTTTTCTCTATTGGGGATACTTAACGATAAAAACTTGGCCCTGACAAAACAAAAACAAGAACAAAAACAAAAAAACAAAAAAATTGGCCCTAACCGGTGTGGCTCAGTGGATAGAGTGTCGGCCTGTGGACTGAAGGGTCCCAGGTTCAATTGTGGTCAAGGGCTCATTCCTGGGTTGCGAGCTCGATCCCCAGTGGGGGGCATGCAGGAGGCAGCCAATCAATGATTCTCTCATCATTGATGTTTCTCTCTCTCTCCCTCTCTCTCCCTCTCTCTCTGAAGTCAATAGAAATATATATATATATATATATATATATATATATATATCCTGTTTCTCAAAAAATAAGACAATGTCTTATATTAATTTTTCTCCCAAAAATGTGCTAGGTCTTATTTTCAGGGGATGTCTTATTTTTCCATGAAGAAAAATACGGTACACATTTATTGTTCAGTGAACATAAAGGAAATTTATTACCTGTATACGGTACGGTAGTACAGTGTTGTCAACACAAACCAGATAGACTGTGAATCCTACAGTATCAAGAATGTACTCATTGATTCAATGACAATCATGTCATCATCTTCTGGAACATCAACCTAACAATCCAATTCCTGAGTTTCCTGGTGAATTTCTTGTGACTCCATTTCTTTCAGAATCAGTGGACCAAATCTCTCATGTTTAGCCTAGGGGGGGGGGGCCTTATTTTCGGGGGTGATGCCTTATATTTTACTCAGAAGGAAACCTGTAAGTAGGTCTTATCTTCCGAGGATGTCTTATTTTTGGGGAAACATGGTGTGTGTATATATATATATATATATATATATATACACACACACACACACACACACATACATATATACATACATACATACACACACACCCATATATATATACATATACACGTATATATGTGTGTGTGTATATACTGTATATGTGTATATGTGTGTGTGTGTGTGCGTGTGTGTGTGTGTGTATATATATATATATATATATATATATATATATATATAAATTTTTGGAAGGGAGCAGCAAAACCACCTACAATCGTTCCCTACATCAAATGGGTGTTTTGATGGCATAAAAGATGCGCTTTCTGACGGAAGCTCTTGCCGCACTCGCTGCAGGGAAACGGCTTTTCCCCCGTGTGCGTCCTCTGGTGCGTGAGGAAGTGGGAGCGCTGGTTGAAGGCCTTGCCGCACTCCGGGCACGGGTACGGCCTCTCCCCGAGGTGGATGCGCTGGTGGGTCACGAAGTGGGAGCTCTGGCTGAAGCTCTTGCCGCACTCGCCGCACCGGTAGGGCCTCTCCCCGGTGTGGATCCGCTGGTGCTTGAGGAGGGCCGAGCTGTCGGTGAATCCTTTGCCGCAGGAGCCGCACGCAAAGGGCCGCTCGCCGGTGTGCGTCCTCCGGTGCGCGGCCAGGTGCGAGCTCTGGCTGAAGCTCTTGGGGCAGGACGGGCAGCTGAAGGGCCTCTCCCCCGAGTGCGTGCCCATGTGCGCCACGAAGTGAGAACTGTCCGCGAAGCCTTTCCCGCACGCGGGGCACTGGAAGGGCCGCTCCCCGGTGTGGGTGCGCCGGTGCTTGGCCAGATCGGAGCTCTGGCTGAAGCTCTCCCCGCACTCGCCGCACCGGTAAGGCCTCGCTCCCGTGTGGGTGCGCTGGTGGGTGATGAGGTTGGAGCTGCGGCTGAAGGTTTTGTGACACTGGAGGCACGTGTAGGGCTTCTCCCCCGTGTGGGTCCTCTGGTGCATGACGAGGTGCGGCTTCCGGCCGAAGGCTTTCCCGCACTCCGGGCACGCGTAGGGCCTCTCCCCCGTGTGGGTCCTCTGATGTTTGACGAGCGTGGAGCTGTCGCCAAATCTTTTCTCGCACCCGCCGCACTGGTAGGGCTTCTCCCCCGTGTGCGTGCGGCGGTGGGTGACGAGGTCCGAGCTCTGCTTGAAGCCTTTCCCACACTCGGTGCATGCGTAAGGCCTCTCGCCGGTGTGGGTTCTCAGGTGTCGGATGAGATAGGAGCCCTGGCTGAAGGTTTTCCCACATTCCGCACACGTGGGCTTCTTTCCCGGAGAGCCCTCCAGGAGCCTGTTTAGATCCTCGCCCCGACGGCCCTCCCCTGGAAGGGTCCCGGGTTCCGATTCAAGGCCCCTCTCCCAGCTTCCTCCCCAGCTGGGTGTCTGATAAACCTCTTTACCGGCCTCTTCTGAGGACGCTCCGCTTGGCTCTGCTGCTTCAGAAGCATCCTGGTGCAGTTTTTCCAGCTGACCCTCCAAGTCTGAAAAATTAACAGAAGTGACTGAGGATAAAGTTGTCGGGAATGTACATCGGAAGGCAGCAAGAAATATATATATATTTAAATAAATTTTATTGATTTTTTTACAGAGAGGGAGGGGGAGAGAGATAGAGAGTTAGAAACATTGATGAGAGAGAGTCATCCGTCAGCTGCCTCTTGCACGCCCCCCACTGGGGATGTGCCCACAACAAAGGTACATGCTCTTGACCGGAATCGAACCCGGGACCTTTCGGTCCAAAGGCTGATGCTCTATCCACTGAGCCAAACCAGTTTTGGCGGCAGCAAGAAATATTGAAATGAGTGTTTTTGCCACAGACTGTACTTAATCTGATTACGTTGATATTCACTCTGTAAAAAGTTTATTGATGTCCACTGAGCTCATGGAAAACATGAGTGCCTAAATGCTTTTTATTTTTTTAAGATGACCAGATAAATTTTGCGATGACCTTTTACATCATTTAAGAGTAAGCAACAAGCCGAAGCCAGTTGGCTCAGTGGTAGAGCGTCGGTCTGCGGACTGAAGGGTCCCAGGTTCGATTCCGGTCAAGGGCATGCACCTTGGTTGCGGGCACATCCCCGGTGGGGGGTGTGCAGGAGGCAGCTAGTTGATATTTCTCTCTCATCGACGTTTCTAGCTCTCTCTCTCTCTCCCTTCCTCTCTGCAAAAAAACAATAAAATATATTTTAAAAAGAAGAAGAAGAAAAAGAAAAAGGAAAAGAAAGAAAAGAAAGGGCTTTCCTGAAGAAAAAAAAAAAAAAAAGAGTAAGCAACAAGTAGTCAAGTAGTCAAAATGAGGCAACTCCTTTCAAAGATGTCAGAGTGGAAATGAAAGTGAAATGCTTACTTAGAAAGAGACTTTATTTGGTCAATTCCTGACTGCCCAAGAACTCAAATTTAAACTTCCGATAGGGCTGAAACTGGTTTGGCTCAGTGGATAGAGCGTTGGCCTGCGGACTGAAAGGTCCCGGGTTCGATTCCGGTCAGGGACATGTACCTTGGTTGCGGGCACACCCCGGTGGGGGGCGTGCAAGAGGCAGCTGGTCGATGTCTCTCTCTCATCGATGTTTCCAGCTCTCTATCCCTCTCCCTTCCTCTCTGTAAAAAATCAATAAAATAAATTTAATAAGTAAATAAACTTCCGATAGGAAGCCCAAAACTGCAGGGCAGCGTTTTTCTAACTTTTCTCCCACCAAGTAGCACTCACATCTCACCTGTGTGACTCTCCCTCAGGATGCCTCTCGCCTCAAAATGTTGGAGGGGCAGGAGC